ATTACAATGAAATGTGCGAGGCGCTGGAGTCGGAAAATCAAAAGGGCTGAACTCGTTCAGCATTTCTTAAGCTCAAGGAACTGAAGAACAAATTCAAACCTAGATATAGATATAGATAGATAGATAGATGCTCAAATTTTTAACATCATAATATTTATCAATTGTCTGTTGTTAGGTTCCACCAAGTCAGGACCTATTCATAGCTGACTCTAAAATGGGTTTTCAGATGCAGTAAATAGCACAGGAGTTATCGCTCATCTTTCTCCTGGAGAGTAGCCAGCAGATTCTAACCACGTGCTTTGGATTGACAGCACAAATGCTCAACACTGAAGAAAGCCATTATGAAAGTCATTTTCTTCTTATCCTTGGATTAAAAGTCAAACCGATTGCAAGAAATACCCCTTCAAAGGAATATGAGGAGGCTAACATATTATGTAATGTTTATCTCATATTATCTAACATTTATCTCATATTTGCTATATCACAACCCTTATATAACCAAATTCTATGATTGTTGTTGTTAGATGCCATCAAATCAACATTAACTCATGGTGACCCTGCGTAAAAAGAGCTAAACCTTGCCCAACCCAGTGCCATCTTCACAATCTCTGGTGTGCTTATGACCACCAGTTTTGCAGTCACTCTGTCAATCCATCTCATTGAGAGTCTTCCTTTCCTTTGCTAACCCTACACCTTTCCAAGCATGACGTCCCTGTACAAAGACAACATGATAACACGCCCAACGTACAGCATAACAACATCTCGCCATCCTTGCCTCTAACTAGCACCTTGGCTCCTTAACAACATCTCACCATCCTTGCCTCTAAGTAGCGCCTTGGCTGCACTTCTTCAAAGGCAGATTTAATTGTTCTTTCGGAAATCCACAGTATATTCAATGCTCTTTGCCAATAACAGAGTTCTAAGGCATCGATTTTTTTTCAGACTTCCTTATTTATTGTCATCAGGAAATGTTTATAGATATGAATGTAATAATGTATTTTCAGAAAACCTAGCGACAAAATCTTGAGATCCTGAAGATGGTTCCATGTCAAAGAGAGAAAGTTAACTTAGTCTAGTCTGTTGTGAATTTTTTAGTTTGTATTAATTATAATAAGTCCTATTTATTGAGCTTCTTCTTATGAGCCACATTGTTCCACCATCCATTATTTCATATGCAATATTTATAAAAATAGTATTTCTAATGCTTACAATGTCTTCAAGAACATAGTTTCTTAATTTTTATTGATGAGGTTAATGCCATTGAGAGAGCTATAATACCCAGCACAAAGTCATAAAAACCTCTCAAATTATAGAACAAGGATTCAAAGGCTATTCAAAGGTCAGAACTTATTCTCCTCTATCACACTGTTTAACTTATTAAGCCAACATACTGGAGACGACGAACAGTGGCAAAAGATGGAATTTTATCATCACCTTAGTAGTAACTTGTATGAACAGAGCAAATTTCTGCCCAAGAAATGGCTCCACTTTCTTATCAAGCAATGCTTATGAAAAAGTAAGCCACCATTGATTATATATATAATTACACACATATATATATTGTTTAAAAAATATCAACCTTTTAATCGTTAGTATATTCATTTTCTAGCATTCCATTTTCTCTCAAACTAACTACATCCTAAAGGCCATGAATCTCCTCTCAATCTTAAAAGATCAGACCTTGCCCCAGTTCTGTGTCATAGGACCTGACAGAAAAGAAATCTTCCTATTGACATTTCTGTGCACAGCACAGAATAATGTAGTAAGCTACTTTTTTGGGGGAGGGGGGAGGAGGAGGAGAAATACAAGTAATTCGATTTTTATTCTTTGGGGGGAAATGACAAAATAAAGAACTTATGGAGAGCAAAAGCTTCTTCTTATTGACCTCCAGCTTAGATGGCCTATTGTATAGTATAAAGAGACTGTCAAATACAGCCAGAAAAGAACAATCTGTAGAGGATAAAATTGATGAATGGGACCTTCCAAAGGATAAATCCCTGTGTGCATCAAAAACTTTTTCCAACAGAGTGAAAAGAAAACTTACTAATGGAAAAACACGTGGCAATACCATATCAGCCAAGGGTCTCATTAAAAATGTTTCCAGAATCCTACAGGGCTTCCACGAGAAAAAGACTGATAGCACAGTTACAAAATGGGCAAAAGACAGTATGCTACTTTAATCTTGGGGAAAACAAACAAAAAAGAAATAGGGTGAGGATAAACTATTTCTGATTTGATAATGCCTAAAAGAGTGGGGTTAGCATATTATGAAACTTAAAAAGGAAGCCCACAAAAAATAAAACTCATTGCCATAGATTAAAGAATTCATCAACTGTAAAACAGAACTGTTCTATTTTTAAGTTTCTATATACTTGACTGTCTGTTAGTAGCAGGTGATGGGCAAATGACAAGAGCAATTTCAAATTAGTTATTGTATCAACTGCTAACTTTGAAAAAAAACCCCAAAAACCCAAAGACCTCAACTCATTGCCATCGAGCAGGAACCAATTCACAGACGACCCTTTGGCGGATTTCTGGGAGGCTGTACACTGCTCATTTTTCTTGCCACAAGATTACTGGTAGATTCAATCCCTTAAGAATTATGCCCCCAGGGCTCCCTGTTACTATCTTAGCAACACAAAGTTAAAGGCATAATACCACACATTTATTGAGAGCTTGCTGCATGCCAAACACGGTCCTCCACACTTGACACAAATTGTGTCATTTGTTCCTTACACTCACCTTCCTCTAGTAAGTTCTAGTATCATCTCCATTTCGCAGATAAGAGATAGAAGGCTGTAACTTGCACAGACAGCTGACAGTAAGAAGGGAAATTGAGACTAAAATCTAGGCAATATCACAGACTGCACCATACAGTGATGTAACTACCCCAAATCAATCCTTACCAAAAAGTGATGGACACACGGCAAGAGCACAATATCTGCCAATGTGAAGTAAAGCCCTTCTGCGAACACATGCTCCAGGGGTGGAAGGTCAGCCGCTTTCGCTTTTCTGATGTGAGAAGGCTCCCTGTTGGTGACAGGTGGTTCTTCCTGGGCCGTGAGCTTTGAGAATGCCACTTCCAATTCCAGACTCTTGGACACAGAGCCCACCTCTTCAGATGTTTCCTCACTATGGATCTTGTTCTTTGTTTTGTCCGTGGCAAGGGGAAGTCTACTTCCAGCAGCCTTCTGTTGCTTCAGCTTCTGCCGACGGAGTTTGTCATCGTTGTGCACTCTGACCGGCTCCCCGAGTTTCTTCTCTAACTGTAATATTTCTACAGGAATAGTTGAGGGTTGTTGAGAAGACTGTTTGAGAAAATTCTCAATAGCCAAAGGAATGGTGAGTTCACAGAGCCTGGTCCACTGACTAACCTGCAAAAGAAAAACAAACAAAAAATGCAAGGATTCTTTATTTTCTCCATAGCTTGAAGAAATTACACTTTCTGTTGGGAAATAGCCTAGTTTGAAGAATTTGTTAAATCTTGAATTTAACTATCCCCCAGTCAGGATTTTATGCTCTATCAGAAACATACCGCAGTGCTTTACAAGTGACAACATTAAGGATTAGAAGATTTAGCATTCTTGAATTCTTTCACTGGATAAATACTTATCAAAGCCTTTAAAATAAAAATGAAAGTTTTAAAAGCATAGTTTCAAAAGTACTGTTGCTTGAATGCATATTTATAGGTAAAATCACCTTTTTTAAAAAACTTCTCACCTAAAATTGACACTGTGACACTGATGAGTCAAATGTGATAATGGTTACCCATGGTGGACAGTGTTTGGTGGGGCTCCCCAATTAAAACAAGCTTGGAAGCAGGAGTGGCTTCCAATTCCAAAATAGCTTGCCTCTGGAAACTCTATGAACTTGGAGAAACGAAAGTTATACAAGTGTCCAGGTCTTTCTTTCATAGTCATCTACGACTCGATAGCATTTAACAACAACGACATACGTAAAATAGTGAAAAAGAAGCAACTTTCTGAAAATCTCACAAATCTAAATTCTTATTCTCCAATATTACATTGAACAAGGGGCTCTGGTGGCCTAGTGGCAAGGAGGTGCCAACCCAAAGGCAAGTGGTTCAAATCCACCAGATGCTCCACAAGTAGAAAGATTTCCTCCTATGTGATTTACAATGTGAAAACTATCAGTTCCAGCTCAACAGCATATATAGCAATACACTGAGCTGTCTACATACATTAAGCATTATTTCAACTATTTTGTTGAGCGTTATGTCTTTTTTTAGTAAATGAACATTTGGGTCCAAGCAGGAAATTAAAATAAACATTTAAGTGAATATGCTATCACTGATTCTAAATAACAGTAACAGAAGCATTATACTTACTTCAGCACAGGCTTTCAAGCAAGTCTTCTTGAAACCCAGTAGTTCTAAAATTTCCTTCTTTGAGGGATCAGCTTCATACGTTTTCTGAATTATGTGTCTTAGTACAACAGCAAGTCCTGCTCTACAAAAATTGCCTGATTCTTCCATTGTTGCAGGTAAACAACAATTCTGGACTATGGATGGAAGCTCTTCTCTTGAAATAATCTGTACTTCAATATCTGAGGGAAGTCCATTTTTTACTAGTGAAATATCTGTATTTTCTCTGGGGAGGACTAAGAAAACTTTAAAGATTTTGCAATCACAGTATGACAACAAAAATAGAGTTACAGATGTATGCAGAGGAAAAACACATCCTTCCCTTTGATAAGAAAAGTCCAGATAGAGAGATTCTTCTGCAAGACTCTTCTTAATGCCTTTCATTGTCTTCTTCCTTGGTTCCCCTGGAAAAAATAAATTGAAGAGGTCATCGTCCTTAAACTAAGACAACAGAAGAATGTTTTAAAAGCAAGTATTTGTGACAGATAATTTATAAGTATTTGTTCCTAAAGACCGAGTAAATGATTTCCAAAACAAAGACCTGCACACTGTGTAATTAACTAGTCTTACAGGAACTTTCCTTTTTCATGCCTTCCAGTGGATTTTATAGTCAGCTTCTTTAAAATAATGCTCAGGTGCCTTGCAATGGAACCCCAAATCAAGAACTCTGCAGGTTTCACCAAGGTAAAACTGGAGATTGGGGGCAGGGGAGAACAACCAGGAAAGAAGAAATCCACCAAGAATAATGAGAGCTGTCTGGGAATAACATGACCCTTGAGAAGTTTTAACAAGTTTGGGTCTCCCTGAATAATCCCATGTGGCTTCTACTTTATGACTCTACAAAACAATCATCAGAGTGGTAAATTATTCCCTATTAGAGATTCCCCCAATGTAAGTGGTCTTTAATATGAGTTCTGGATCACAGTAAGAATGTTATTATTTTCCCATAAACATTGATAGCTGAGATATTGCAAAGTTAACATGTCCAAAATTCAGTCCCCTATTCTCCCACATTTCCAAAACCTGCTCACATGCCTTCCTTACCAATAGCAGTTGAAGCCTAAAATCCTTTGGAATCATTCTGACTTCCCTTTCACATTACCTATCAATCAAAATCCTTAACTTGGATCTACCTTATGTATATATCTGGGATCTCATCATATTCTAAATTATCAACTCTTCTCTGTATTTACCTTGTAGTTAGTCTCTCTGAGAAGCCTTAGTGATACAGAAGTTCAGTGCTTACCAGCTAACTAAAAGCTTAAAAGGATTTATGTGAAGCCACCAACCACTTAGTGGAAGTCTGCTTCCATAATAAAAGATTTACAGTCTGGGAAAAGCTACAAATTGGGATTGACTCCACAGCAATATATTTTTGTTCTGTTTTTTCACATCTAGAAAAGGTCTGGAATGCAATTCAATAGTGTTTAATGAATATATGAATTAATACAAACATTGGTTACCTTAAAGTTGCAAACATGTACAATCTTAAGGTAAAATTATGAATGGATGTTTCTAAGTAATATTTTTTAAGGTTTCTGTATAACTTTTTTTTTTGCTTGATACATTTTCCGGGTCCAAAATTCTCCACATTCTAATCTATACATCATTACTGTAAAATTAACACTAGATGGCACTCTTTAAATAGCATTAAGCAAAAGAAGCATGTTATAAGATGGTGTATTACATTATTGCTTTCTAAAAGGGCATAAGAAAATCACCTTTCAAGTGTATTTGAAAAACTAAAGTGCTCTGAATTTTAGGAAACTACCAAAATACTAAATTTTCTTTATATCTTTTGGGTTGTTTTTATTTCTTATTCTCCCCTCCCCCCAATAAAAAAGTAAGTCACTTTGTAAACTTCTTATTCCTCAATGTTTCTACTAAAGCGTTAATAATCCATTATAATAATTAGATGTAGTTAGCAAAGTACTTTTAGAAAACCACCTTCTCAAAAAAAAAAAAAATAACAATGAAACACACACACAAACCACTTGTTGCCAAGGAGTCAGTTCAACTCATAGCAAGCTTGCCAATGTTTTATTAAGCTATATTTATTAAAGCACTGGTAAACAAGTACTTCCTATGCATTTTTTAAATGGTTAGTTGTGGAGGGAAATGATTTCAAGTAATTTGGGGATAACAACTTTTTAGGCTAGAGGGAGTTATTTTGTTCGGCAGTAAGAACTGATTTTAAAGCATATTAAGGGGACTTACTGAAGTTCACAGGCAAACAGAACAGAGCACACTTTCTAGGAATTAATTAAGTCTTAGAAGTATGTCCCAAGAAATCTATTGGAAATTAATTTTTAATCCTCTTAGTTCTCTCTTCAGACTGAAAAGTACTAGGAGGATTCCAAACAATGCCAAGGAGGCAGATTTGCAAGAAACCATGATGGATCTCTTCACTTGCTCAACAGCCTTCAAAAAAATAACTGCATAGCTCCCACTCATGTGTTTTGTTTTTTTTAAAAAAACTGAAAAACAATATATTTTGTAGCTTTTCTTGATCTGTAAAAATATAAAATTAGAGCACATACGTATTTGTCATTTTGAACAAAAGGTTTTATAAATTCTATGAACTCTTCTGAGTGCTTATTTAAATACTAAGTGTTGACAGAACAGCAAAACCTGATGATATGATATCTAAAAATTAATGAAAGTCCTGGGGGGGGGAAATGCAAAAGCATTGACTTTTAACATGATTTTTTTCAATAGAGATGTTGGTGTTGTTGAGTTTTGAGATTAAAAATGGGACTTAACGATATTGGAGTTTAAAAACAATTTCCTTTCTGTGGACAATATCACGCAAATAATAACTTCTAAAATACTAAGAAAACTTTTATAAATCTGTTTACCATGTGTATTGTGTCTTCAATTTTTCAAGAAAGCAGAATATGGTATTTTTTTTTTAATATGGTATTTTTTTAAAGTTTACAAGCACCATAGGAAAATAAGCTCATCTTTTTTACTTCTCCATCTCTACCTAGAGAACTCCATAGTTCATTAACCTCATGCCATGATCTTTTAAAAAGCAGGTACTACAGAATGATCTCCTGGGTCTCCAAGGCTTCTGGGCCCAGCTCTTGCTCCTCTGTATCACACACCTGCCAAGCACAGCAGTGGTGCCGTTTGCTCTCTTAGCTTTGACAGGTGCCATTCTACAACTGCTGAGGAACGAGAATTCTAACAGCAGAAAAAGCCTACAGAATTCAAGAGCTGAACAGAGCAGCTCCTCCCTAGCCAGGCCAGTTTGCCCAGAAAATCCTATAGCAGAAGGATTGAGTTGGTAAAAAGAAAATTCCGAAGTCTTGATTTCATGACTTGTGACATTCAAAAGATATTTTTAAATGACTAGTCACAGGCTTAAGATTTTAGGCATTAGACTTTTCAGTATTTTCATTTTAATGAGTAGATCTTGGTTTGAGTAAATATTTCACATATGAAAAGGGAAATGAATTCTGTGTTTTCTTACTACATCCTACATATATTTAGAGAGGAAGACTGAGGAAAAGTAAGCATACTACTTCACAAATGGAAAAAGCAACTGAAATGTTTCGTGTCTAAAACTGAGGATTAATAGCAACTAAATCTTTCATAGTAAGTTGACAAATTATTTCTCTTGTCAAAGTAGAAAGAAAAGTATGCCAATAGCAAAACACTGTCATTTTTTTAAGACATTACCACTATGGTAGGAATTGTTGGGAATTAAATAAATGTTAAATGAAGCTGATATAGAGTTATTGTCCATTTACTATTTGCTGATGACAAAAAAAGATCTTCTTACATTTCACTTCTAATCTTCACAATCCTTAAAGTACATTTTATTTGGAGTTTATGGGTAAAAAGTGTCAACAAACTATAGCATTGGTTGAACTCCTAAAGGTATTTTATAAATTGGAACATACAACTTTATTGCAACAATTAAGTCCACCAAAGCAAAAAAGTTATCAGCAATTATACATTATTCTAAGAAACTGCTTGTCTCAGTAATCCTTGGTAAAAAGCTCCATTCTGAATGCAAGGCTACGGGGCCGTTCTCAATGGTGGATTAAGTGTTCCTGCATTTCCTCAACTTCTTCACTGGATTCTCCTCCTCAGGCTTCTTTGGGACCCAAGGCTCACTGCTTTGCCCTCTTCTCAAACTATGCTCACTCTCTTGATTCGCAGCTTTCAAACTGTTTTTTATCATGCCACACAAAAAATATATTTCATACTGCAATTTTACTGCACACTGGTAGTTCAACAGTTAAGCATGCAGGTTGGCAGTTCGAACACATACATTGGCTCCACAGAAGATTTGGAGACAGGCTCTTGTAAAGATTATAGCCTAGACAACCTTGTGGGGTAGGGATGTGATCTAAGTCTCACAGTCTCTCCAGCAAATTTTAGCTCAAGAAAATAAATAAATAAATATTCATAAATGAAAATCATTAATTAAGGGGGGAAAATGTTTGGAAGGGTAGACGGACAGAGCTGGAGAGAAAGACCCCAGATGAGTTGAACTGACACAGTTACTGGGGTAATGGGAGTAGGTGTGTTGGAGACAGACTGGTTCAGGATATGGCAGGGTTGATTATAAATAGATCACTATGAGTCATAGGTGAATGAAAAAATCAAGAAAAAATTATGTCAGCTAACCTGGAAAAAGTGTAACTTAAATGGATGTATACTTGTGCCTACAAGTGTTTTGTAAATGTTTTGTGTTTTAAACAAAGCATGTCATGACATGTATTTAAGTAGAAGAAAGGGTCTAACAAGATTTTATGCATTTAGTCAGAACACAATATATATTAAGAGTCCAATAATATAGAAGAAACATACAATATAGTATGAGTAGAAGCCCACTTGAGTCAGAATATCTGAGTTCACATTTTAGTTCAATAATATACTACAACTGTACAAAACGTTTTGTGCATTAGTTTGCTCATCTGTAGAATTAGTATCATGGTCCAGGATGAGGCAGAGATGCCCTGTGCTGTACCGGAATACTATGAGTTAACAGTAACTGTACAGGATGCTGTAAGAACCGTATCTGTGACTTCTTGTTGTGGTGTTGGGTGCCGTGAACACAATTACAACTCATGGCTACCCTATGAACAACAGATATGAACCTTGTTCTATCTCGTACAATCGTCAGGATCTTAGATCTGCTTAAGCCTATTGTTATAGTCACTGTCTTTCTCAGCATGGTGTCTTTTTCCAAGGACTGGGCCCTCCTGACACTATGTCCAAAGTATATGAGACAATGTTTCACCATCATTGCATCTCAGGAACATTGTGGCTGCATTTCCTCTAAGAAAGACTGTTCTTTTAATTGCCTATGAGATATTCAATACTCTTCTCCAACACCACAACTCAAAGGCATAGATTATTTCTCTTTA